AATGACACATTGAAGAGGAATAGCATCACATTCATAGTCAAAAAGAACATTTCAAGATCTATCCTGAAGTACCAGGCTGTCAGAGATAGGATAATATCCACATGTCTGTAAGGAAGACCAGTTAATATGACTATTATTAACTATTATTCAAATTTATGAACAAACCACTAATGCCAAAGATGAAGAAATTGAAGATTTTTACTAACTTCTGCAGTATGAAATTGATCAAACATACAATCAAGATACACTGATAACTACTGGTGATTGGAATGTGAAAGTTGGAAACAAAGAAGAAGCAAGGTACTTGGAAAATATGGCCTTGGTGATAGAAAGGATGCTGGAGATCGCATGATAGAATATTGCAAGACCAATGACCTATTCCTTGGAAATACCTTTTTTTCAACAACATAATGATGATTATACATGTGACCTTACCAGATGGAATACACAGGAATCAAATTGACTACATCTGTGGAAAGAGATGATGGAGAAGCTCAATATCATCAGCCAGAATAAGGCCAGGGTGGACTATGGAACAGATCACCAATTGCTCATATGCAAGTTCAAGTTGAAACTGAGGAAAAGTAAAACAAGTCCACGAAGGCCAAAGTACAACCTTGAATATGTCCCACCTGTTTTGGTCTCTAGTGCCTCTCCAACAGAATGGATGGCTTTAACAAACAGGAGTTTATTCTCTTATAGTTTAGAGGGCTAGAAGTCTGAGTTCAAAGTGCCAGCTCTAGGGGCTGGGTGAAGGCCCCTCAACCTTGAGCTTCAGCTCTGCCTCTTGCTCCCGGCCCACTGAAGCTGGAGACTACTCTTAACTCAGGCAGCTGCTGGCTGCCAAGGCTGACAAACCCATGGTCAACAAGTACAATGGCACAGTCCCAAGATTATCAAACAACACAGCAGGCCACTACTTCAGGACCAGAAACAGTCCCAAGATTGACAAGGCCAGCATGGTAGGCTGCTGGATGAAGACTCAGCTACGTGCAGGGTCCAAGCATACCAAAAAGCTCGAGACTTTCCTCAAAGCTTCTTCTTATGTGCTGGAAGCAGACCACATCCCTAAGGCTACTCAGCTGCTAGCAGTAGATTCCACCATGGAGCTGATTACGGTCTCATCTTGGGGAATAACTACATCCAGATGTCCAATCACTCAAAACCAGGCCCAGCCAAGTTGACACACAACTTAATTACCATGCCACCTGAATTTAGAGAGCATCTCAAGAATAGATTTTGACACCAAAGACTGGATGAGTTGTGGGATGACACTGAGGACATCATAAATGAAGAAAGCAAAAGGATATTAAAAAGATGGGAAAGAAAGAAAAGACCAAAGTGGATGTCAGAAGAATCTCTCAAACTTGCTCTTGAACATAGAGTAGCTAAAAAGAATGGAAGAAATGATGAAGAGCAGAAAAGATTTCAAAGAGAGGCTTGAAAAGACAAAGTTAAGTATTATAATGAAATATGCAAAGACCTGAAGTTAGGAAAAAAAGGGAAGAACATGCTCCGCATTTCTCAAGCTTAATGAACTTAAGAAAAAAATTCATGCCTTGAGTTGCAACATTGCAGGATTCTATAGGCAAAAAATTGAACAATTCAGGAAGCATCAAAAGAAGGTGGGAGGAATACACATGGTACCAAAAATAATTGGTCGATGTTTAACTATTTCAGAGGGTAGCATATGATCAATTGCAGAGCTGTTGTGAGGAATAAATATGATCATGTATATAATGTGCTTGGCACATGGTAACTATCATTATGACCATGGAGGTCTTGAAAGTCTTCCAAGGCTGATACATTACACAACTCCAGGGGATTGTCTATGTGAATGTTGGCCCTTGCAGTTGTGAAATGCACAGCTTGGATGTGGTAGCCCTGGTCTAATGGGACTGGTATAGACTGTTTGCTAAGTTATTTTTATGTTTTAGTGTTGTTTCCTTAAATTATCTGTAAGCTTCTGTCTTCTACGATTTTGTATGTATCTCCTAAGGAGTAGCTTTATCTCCCACCACCACCAACTTCCCTTCAAAATAAAATTCTCCCTCTGCCTCCCCCATTGTATTTGTTCTTATTGTTGTTTGATGCCCCCAAGTTGGTTCTGACTCATAGCGACCCTGTGTATAACAGCACAAAACGCCTTGTCCTGCGCTGTCCTCACAATTGTTGCTATATTGAAGCCCATTTTTGCAGCCACTGTTGTCAATCTATCCCATTGGTCTTTTTATTTTTATTTTTTTTGACCCTATAGTTTACGAAGCATGATGTCCTTCTCCAGGCACTGGTCCCTCCTGATAACATGCCCAAAGCACGTGAAATGAAGTCTCACCATCCTTGCTTGTAAGGTGCATTCTGGCTGTACTTCCTCCAAGACAGATTTGTTCGTTCTTCTGGCAGTTCATGGTGCATTCAATATTCTTTGTGAACACCATAATTCAAAGGAGCTCTGGTAGCATAGTGGCTAAAGCACTTGACTGCTAACCAGAAGGCTGGCGGTTCAAACCCACCATCTACTCCTCGGAAGGAAGGTTGGGCAATCCTACTTCCGTAGTGATACTGCCTCGGAAACCCAAGGAGGGGTCGCTATGAGTCGGGGCCAACTCGACGGCACATAACAACAACATAACAACATAATTCAAAGGCATCAGTCAGTCAAAAAAGACATTGTATTTGTTCGTAGATTTATTTTATTTTTAACCACCCCTGTTGTTGTCAGGTGTCGTCAAGTTGATTTAGATTTATAGTGACCCCATATGACAGAGTAGAACCGCTCCAGAGTAGAACAGAGTTTTCTTGGAATATTAATGGGAAGGAGCTCTGGTGGCACAATGGCAAAGCACTCAGGCACTAATTGAAGGATCGGTGGTTTGAACCCACCAGCTGCTGCACAGGAGGAAAAACCTTATGATCTGCTCCTGTAAGTATTCTAGTCCAGGGAACCCTGTGGGACTGCTCTTCTCTGTCTTATAGGGTTGCTATGAGTCTGAACTGACTCAACGGTACACAATTGTTATGGAAGCAGATCACCACGCCTTTCTCTCATAGAGCTTGGTGGTTTTGAACTACCAACGTTTTGGTTAGCAGCAGCCTCTTAAATGTTGCATCACCAGGGGTCCCCCACCCCATTGTTCTATTTGACTAGACTACTTCCAGTTTCTCAAAAGGCCTCAGCTCAGGGCCCCACATCTTTGCCCAGAAGCGACCTCTAGCTCCCTAGCCTTCATTTGTCCCCACTCCCACCTGTTCACCATTGTTCACCATTGCATGCTCAGCACCTAACATAGTGCCTCATAATAAGACATGTTCATTAAATGTTTGTTGTATGCATACGTTGTTTTTAGGGATTATTACCTAGTTTTTCTGTAAAAAGGGCCAGAGAGTTTTTAAATGAGCTGCTGCACTTCTTCACCAACCATGACTGAATTTCTAACATGTACTCATTTACTGACGCATTTTACCTACACCACCAAGTACAGACCTTGTGTTAACATTGCCTGCTTTTTCATTGGTGTGTGGCCTTCAGCAAGTTTGTTAATCACCCTGTGCCTCAGGTTTCTTATTTTGAAAATGGATATGAGAAGAATGCTCTCTCATAAGGTAGTAAGGAGGATGAAATGAGATGGTTCTACTGTCTGAAATGTTCTCTAGAGGCTCCCAGAGCTGGCTGCTTCTTCACATCCAAGACCCAGTTCCAGTGAGGAGCCCTCAGGGGCCTGCTGCTCCTGAACTACTCTTGCCTGGTCTCCTCTCCAGTTTCTCTCATGTCATCTTGCTTTCATTTCTTCATAGCATATGTCACTCTCTTCTAGCTTTGTTTACTTATTTGTTTACTAGCTATGTGACCTCACTTTCTTTGAGCCTCAGTTTCTGGTCTCTGCCATATCCTTCGTGGCTAGACCAGTGCCTGGCATGGAGTAGCACTCAGTGAATATTTGTTGAATCAATTTACTTTTCCTTTGAAAGAGTCATGAACAGATGGAAGATTATCTTCGAGCACAATAGGTTCTAGCAGGAATAGGTTGGAACGCAGACCTCTTAGCCTGTAGCCCCGAGGGTCAGGGATTCCTCATAATGATGGAGTCAGTGCCAAAATGCCCCCAGGATAGTGGCCCCTGGCCATCAGTACTGTCTCTGAGGGTGTACCTTGCTGCTCCCCTGACAGAGTGCCACATTGAGTAATTATCTTTAAATCATCTCTTGTTTTATACTGAGATTAAAGGAAAAACTTTGCTCTTTAAAAAAATTTTTTTTGTGATTATAAAGTAAAAATATAACATTGTGTGTTGTAAAAAAAAATTACTTTTCCTTTTCCCTCTAAGCCTTTGAGAAAGCTAATGGACAGCCAAACAGTGGTAAAATTTTCTGATCACGTGTCTGGCGGGGGGATACCCCCAAACTCCTTTCCAAGTGCTTTCAATCTGTGAGTAAAGTGAAAAAACCCAGAGGCCTCAAGGAGGTTACCATCTCTTTGGTAGGATGTGACTGAGTGAGTCTCCGAACCCTTGGTGGTTTCGGAATCACTCATGCAACTTGAGCCTTCCATGGATGAAAAGTGATACATCCAGAGATCAAACTCAGAAGGCATATAGCTCAATACAAAGTTGAGTGAAATAGGGATGCAGAGAAGGAGATTTTGATGGGGAAGGCTTCCTTGGAGAATCTTACAAGGAGAACAAAGTCATCCTAGAATGACTTGGCCAGGCATTCATGTTTGTAAAGCACTTAGAACAGTGCCTGGCCTACAGAGAAAACTACGTATGTGTTTCGTAAATAAAAATGCCCAAGTGATATTTTTATGTCATAAAATTTTATTTATTTCTTCTACAAAAGGATACAAAAAATATTGAAAAGCTTTATTTGTGAAGTTGTTGCCCTGTGCTGCCCTTTCTCGAAAATGCTCATAAGAGGACCACATGAACATGTCAGCTTCTGATATGAGTATGTATTGCACGGATTCTAGAAACATCAACCTCAGGCGACCCCAAACTTGGGGATTACATGGACTCAATCAGATCATCTGAGCAAAGAGGCCAATCCTCAGAAATATCAACAAAGTAAGGTGACTGCTCAAGGTTGGCCTCCTGAGCCACTGTTTGGTGACGTTCAGCCTGGGTGCCCTCCTCTTCACTGAAGACAGAAGGTGAACAATCACAGACGGGCCTTTGGCTGGACTGTGACAATTCAAGCATCTTACAGGATGTCTCATCGTCTTGGGTTGTGGCCCCATTCCTGCTGGTTACACACACAGGGCAGGACGTAGTGAGCCACGGTGAATGCTGGGGAGCCACACATGACACTGGGATCATGTATTTTGACGACGTGCCCTTGGAAGCATAGTGCATCTCAGTGCTGTAGATAACCATATTCTGAGAGATGACCTTGGCCTTGATGCCACATTCAATGACGCGGTAGGTGAACTGACAGGCATGTGGCTGAACATGATTGGCGGGGCAACCCCGGCCCAAATGTAACTCACTGAAGTGCACATACACGTCACTGTTTAACATGAAGGGGTGTACAGTGACCATGAACCAGTCTATGGAGCACAGAACAGTCACCGGGTTTTGTCCAGCGCAGGATGGAATTACAGAGATGAGGAGGACCATCCCTCCCATCAGCTCAAAGGCTTTCATTCCAGGCTGAGCAGGCAAGGACCCACAGGAAACAGGAAGCTGTTCAGTGAGGATTTCTAGAGCACACAGAAACACAAGAGGCAGACATCTTATTTCCCATAGAAAGTTCAAACATGCCATTTTTTTTAAAGCAAAAGGGTGTTTCTAAAGCATTAAGAAGAAGAAAACATTCTTGCCTTGAAAGGCAATTGAAACTTACTGTCATCATTAGAACTCAGTGTTTAGGAATCACTATAAAGACTTACTTTTAACTGTGGTGAAAAATATACGTAACAAAACATTTGCCATTTTACCAATTTCTACAGGTGCAACTTTAGTGGCATTGATGACATTCTTCAAGTTGTACACCTGTTCTGGCTATCCTTTCCAAATCATTCCACCACCGTGAACATCAACTCATTGCCCCCTAAACAACCCCTCCCCTTTCCCTCCCCTCTCACCCCCTGGTAACCACTAATTGTCTTTGGTTTCCATATATTTGCTTATTTCATATAAGTGAGATCATACAGTACTTGTCCTTTTGTGACTGACTTATTTCGCTCAGCATGATGTTTTCAAGGTTCATCCATGTGGTGGCATGCACCACAACTTCATTTCTCTTGATGGCTGAGTCCACTGTGTGTATGT